TCTTGTCATTATCATAGCAATTAAATTTGACAAAAACATTTATTTTACATGAGACACTTTACCTGTAAGTTATATAGTTTTATCATTTAAATGCAAACAGGATCTCTCTTTACCCTTGACTAATTTTTGATTAATACCTTGTGTATTAACTAAGCAACAGGGATTATAATGATGGACATATAGGGCCATCATGGTGAACATAGTTTTTATGGCCACCATTAATAAGAGAATGTCACAGGTAGTACTGTAGGTAAAAACTATATAATGGGATAGCAGTACTGTAATTAAAAAAAAACTTTTTTTCATTAAAACTATATTGCCCGATTAAAAGTTTGAAATTATTATTATCATTATTTATTATAACTTTCTTCATTCAACTTTGTGAAACATAATAAACAATTATATACAGAGTGATATTTGATATAGCCATTCTGTTAATCAAGCATATTCTGATATGGTTGTTAGACAAAGTTCAAAGATAGTTGCTATGGTAATTAAGTTTATAGGAAATCTGAATGTAATAGGATGGTCACTTTTGTGGTAATTTCCTGTCGTGTATTTGTAAGAAAGCAGTGTAACGAAGAAAGCAAAAAGAGAATCACGTCATCTGAAGTTCAAAAAGAAAGAAACATGTAAGTTGTAACTTTATAAGTTCTTATATATATATAATTATGAATGACAAATACAATATGTGTTTTAACCTGAGGGATGTTGTTCACAAATAAAACATATAATTTCTCATGTGTTTCTATCATTTTATAGTTCTTGAAGTTTACGTTTAGGGTGAAATATTTTCTAGATTTTGTTTCAATCAGTGTTAATCCTAAATACGCATGGAATATTTGCCACTGAACGTTCGTATTATAAAAAAAAATTGTTTATTTCCGATATTTTATATGTGATTTCTGAAATCTTTGTTAAATATTGCGATTGCATTTATTTTATTACCATTAATAATAGAAAAGTCTGTCTTAGGATGTACCTTGTTCCGTAATGTTTCAGACATGTTGTTTAATGATTTCTACTTCATAGAAATATAAAAGAATTCTTTAGTTTTATTATTTTTTTCATATATTAATCGCAAAACGTGTACGATATATTTGTGAAACATGATCATATACACATGTATATGTGTAACATGTTTGAGATATCACATATGTGTGATAATTAGAATTAAATCATCTAATTAATTGTAATGACCGACTTAGAAATCTAAAGACGAAAGCCATTAAAAACGTTTTGCCTTTAAATATAAGAAAAAAAATGGGGATACAAAATGTTAAAAAAATTATACCACACTTTAGGATATTTCTAAACGGAGAAGTCTATGAAATTGGCAGACATATTCGTGTATAAATTACTTGAAGTATATCTTCTTTTTAATATACAATTTTACATTTTAATATAAATTTATAGGTCAGATATCTGAATACTACAGAAGACAAAATTGTGCAAAAGGAATAGTAGGAATCATTGACAATATTCTGGCTAGAAAATCCATGGAAATGGAGATGGGAAAAATATGCATTCTACCAGTTGATAGCCCAGAATGAATTACTAAGTATGTAACATAATAGCCATCTTTTATACTACATCGGATTCGCAGATTTCACAGATATACATAAAATATTTAATATTGCCGTTAATGCTTTTGTATTTAGGTTTGATTTTGTATTTTTTCACTATAACTATTTATTTAGTTAGAACGTATTTTGATATAGTTCTGTTTCCTGTAGCCTTACCTACCCTCAATTTTTCTGCTTAACCAAGCTATCACAGTGAAGTCTAACCATTATGGTAAATTTAAACATAAGAAGATGTGGTATGCCATGACACAGAAATTAACAACTATAGGTCACCGTACGGCCTTCAACAATGAAGCATGCATTATGCCTATATTGCATTCAGTGGCTTGTATATTCTAGGTTAAATATTAAAAAAGAGTCTTTTCTCTACCTATTTACCCTATTTTGTTGTTCCAGGAGACTGGAAACAATAAATATTTTGCCGTTTTGTTTATTTTTAGGAGGATTTGATATACACTGAGTACTCATTTATTCATTACTTTGTTACATGGGCAGTGAAATAATTTTTATGAAGATATGCTACTGGATAAAAGATTAAACATAAGACGGAGTCAGAAATAGTGACAAAACAAAGTGTAGCAGAAAACAAAAGGAACCCTCTCGTGAATAAAACCATGTTAGAATACAGGACTAGGAAAATACATGTAGCTGTGTGGAATGAATAAGCAATGCCTTCATAAAGAGCTTTGACATTGCAACATAAACACTAATGATTTTATACATATTTCATAAATGGATTATCATGAATAGACTTTTAAAATTTCATTCTAGATCTGATTTAGCAATGAAGAGATACAATAAATTAAACTTTTAATATTTTGCTGGTTGTCTAGCTTATAATAAATTATTCATATTCATACCTTTGTATTTTAATTATTTAAGTAAAATAGGTAACATGGATATGTTGATTGAATTCATTCAGATAAGGGTAACATTCAAAGGTACAATTCCTGGAGAGAAAGAAGCAAAATATCAAAGTTTCAGGGTAGTATGTAAGAAGAAACAACATGGTAACAACAGTGGATCAGTTGTTGCTTGGAAGGGATTTTAGTATCCTTCATATGGATCGAAAAGTTTACAAATTGAACCAACGCAGTTCCAACGTATGTTTAAACATTGGCCCAACGTTTGTTCAACATCGGCTGTATTATTCCATCATTGGGCCAACGTTGGACCTATGTATTGTATAAATCCTTACAACATTGGATAAACGTTTAGCCATCACGTTGGGCCAACATAGGGCCACTTTGCAATTATACATTCGGCCAACGTTTAAAAACAACGTTGGACCACTGAAAGTAAATACGTTGGGCCAATGTTGTGCCAACGTACAAATGTTGTCTGGGTAAAGATTACAATTGTTTTAGCAAGACGCTGTCTATGACTTATATTTCATATCTCCATAAAAAGTTTTTTTTTCGATTAGCAAGTTTCCATGAAGGAATTAGTGTTTATAGTAAATTTAGGCAACAGTAGTTGACCGATGTTCAAATCTCGTTGATCGATTAGGGAGAAACAAATAAAGGTTAGAAACAGTAACTGAGGAAGTTGCATTAAATCCAAAAGGAGCGAGACCAGGTTTGTCTTCATGGTAAGCTTCTCCTGCTATGAATGCACCATCAGATAATCGAATCTACACTGTGTAAAATGTCACAATAGGACACATTCGGTAAAATTACAAATCAGACGACTACAATGTATACTGGAGTCTTTTAAAGATCTAAGACTCAAACATGCTGCTAGTTGAGACACCGACACATCGTTTCGGTCAACCAATTCGTGATGCAAACAGTAAGACTTATGTACAACCTTTCCAAAACAGACAAAAAATCGACCTTACAATTTAATTACTTAGTTTCAATTTGAAACTATTTTGGTCAATTTTGTCCGGGAAAAACAAATTCATAGAGGTTCTTCAACTTCGTATTTGACTTGGCCTTTCAATTGTTTTAATTCTAGCGTCACTGATTCGTCTCATGTAGACGAAACGCGGCGCCTGTCTTCCAAATTATAAGGTTTGTATCTTTGACGAGTTTTTGTTTATCATATCTCTTTTGTAAAGTGCCAAACATTCTTGCTCCTTCCTTTCTTTGTCTAACCCAAAACATATATCAGAAAAATTGTGATAAAACAAAGGTAAAATTTTACTTTTACTTCAATTTAATGGTCACAAAGCAAGGATCTCAAATCAAAACAACCTAGGTTTATACTAAGTAGGACTTATAAGTTAGATCAACGTACTGCATTATTTAAACTTTTTAATTAACATTTTGACTGATATATATGCATTTAGGTGTTCTCTCAACATTGTCTAATATTGGGTTTTTAATTAAAGTTATAATGGTGAAATTCGTATTCGTAAATAAAGACCCTTGAAATCTAAGATCAACATACTGATAGTTTGAAATTATTACAAACTTTAATTGCTATCTCACATGTTCTTTCTGTTATTTTGAACGTTTTATATGTTTAAAAATCAATAACAATTTATCTTAACACTGTAAAAGACATGTTATAACCGAGAGAAAGATTGTTGACGTTTGCCGTTTGTGTGTGTATATGAAAGGTAAGACAATACATTGTATGGTATTTACTGTAAGCATTATGTTGTTAAAACATGTCGAAATGCGACTAATTGCGCTGGTTTGAAAGATGTTCTTGCACGTGAACGAAATAATCGAACCGAAACGCATATCTACTGATATGAGTACACTAAGAAGTTCAAATTTGAAACAGGTAAAATAAATGTTTATCTTATTGAAGATATTTTAAAAACACTTATCAGTAAAACTTTGTTATTTTAATATGCAGGAGTATTTATAGTCATACATATTTTTGCTGCTACACTATTCAAGCAAACAGCATAATAAGCAATCAAATTTCACACGTTATCATATTATCTGAATAAACATTTATATTGTAACAGTGATGTTTTCCCATACGCAGCGTCTGTCTCACAAAATTATAAGGCTGGTACTTTGATGAGTTTTTGTTGGCCAAATAAAGCATATCTCTGTCGTACTGTTCTCCTTTCTTTCTTTGTCTAACCCAGAAAATATTTCAGAGAAGTGATAAAATACAAAGGCCAAGAGCTAAATTTGACTTTTCACTTTGACTTCAATTTAAATGTCACAAAGCAAGGACCTCATATCAAAACAACCTAGGGTTATACTATGTAAGACGTATGAGTTATGTCAACATTCTGCATCATTCAAACTTTTAAATTAAATCTTGGACTCTTATATATGCGTTTAGTTGTTTTCTAAAAAGTGTCCAACATTTGTTTTTAATTAATGTTATAATGGTTAAATTCGTATTTTCGAAAATAAAAACCCTACATATCCTAGGATACACATACCGATAGTTTGTATTTATTACAAACTTTAATTTCTATCTTACCTGGGCCGTCTGTCATTATGAGTGTTTTATCTGTTTAAAAATCAAAAAGAATTGATCTTAATATTATCTGAAGACATGTTATAACCGAGAAAAAATATTGACGACGTTTGCCGTTCATGTGTGTACCTCAAAGGTAAGACAATACTTTTTATGGTATTTACTGTAAGCTTTTTCTTATTTAAACATGTAAAAATGCGAAGGAAAGCACAAGTTTGAAATATGTCCTTGCACTTGAACGAAATGATCGGACCAAAACGCCTACTTACTGCTAAGAGATCATTCAGAAGTTCAAAATTGAAACAGGTGAAATATATATTTATCTTATTGGCTTTATGATTATCAGTCGAACTTTGTTATGATAATTTGAACGAGTATTTAAACACATACATATTTTTGCTGCTACACTATTAAAACAAACAGCAAACTAATCAATCATATTTCACATCGTATCATATTATCTGAATGTACGTTGATATTGTAACAGTGAATCTTTTCAATACGCGGCGTCCGTCTTACAAAATTATACATGTTATAAGGCTGGTATCTTTGATGAGTTTTTGTTGGCCAAATATATCATATCCCTAACATGTCTAAATAAATCAAAATTTGGACTTTTCAGAAAGCAATTCGGACGTACTAAATTCATAAACACTTTTTTTTAGTTTCTAGGTGAGAAACTGGCTATAAATTGTCACTCTTCCAATTCGAAATAAAGTTTCAAGTAACGACATGTTGCAATAGTATTTGATAAAAACCTTTTGACGATATCGTTTACGGGATTGAAGGTGAAACAAAAACTTAGTTTAGAATGACCTTGGCCTGAAACCTTTTAGGTCTTTATCTCTTACGGGATATGAGTTACACTTAAATATTCCTCAGTTAATATATAACAAGGGAAATAACTCTTACAAGGAATCACTTCGATTTAGCCACAATTGATTGTCACATCCTTGGGGGTGGAAAGCAAAAAGTGTCGAAGATTTAAAAAATAATTTAAAAATAAAATTGTTAAATTCAAATTTGTTGATACGAAAATAATGGTATATTATCTTTCGGTTAAACAAGTCGTTTCCGGTGTAAGAAGATAGCGGTTACTTACCTTATCATGCTTCAAGTTTTACACGAAAAAGAGAAAATAATAAGCAACTTCCGATTTACAAGTCACCCCCGGTGAAATATGTGATAGTTTACTGAAAATTGATTCCAAAGTAACCCGAATTATTAAGACCCTCTTCTTGATCTATCTTTCTCAATGTTAAAAGCAGGAACTCCTTATGTAATAAAAACACGTAACAAATCAAGGATTTTGATCGGCGCTCTCTGAAATAGAGAGTAAATTGTCTAAAAGCTAAAACTAGAGATAAGAAAATCCCGATGTTAATCCGAAGAAATTATTATGAATTTTTTCAATGACTTGACCTTTTGGCGTTAGTAGAGATATCAGAGAACAAAGCAATATACCAACTTTATTTTTCGGGTTAATTGTTTCAATGAGTTTAACTTTATATAAGGGGTATTATAACCTCAATCAGGTCAACAGAAGGTCACTTCCGGTGTCAAAATGTGTAGTTTTACCTAACATTAATCCAAAAGATATGTGGTTGTTAAGTTCTTTTTCTCGATTATTTATAATTTTAACTGAATAGTTCGAATTATGTATAAATAACCGTCCATTGTTTTAGACATTGTTAGATCTTGCCATGGATGTCAAAAAAGGAAAATGACAAAAGTCAAAACTTAATCTGGAATAAATTCTTATAAAACAACGTCTTAAACATTCCAAATGTGGAAAATTGACTTATTATGATCATTTTCTGTTAATCAAACCGGGGATTCTTACACATGTTACATATTCATCGTCGTATTTTCTTTTTTTTCTATTTACAATTTTATTGCTAAATATGAAATCTACTCCGATATGTAAATTGCTTGACATTAATCCAAAAACTATTTGGTTGTTAAATTAATTTTTGTTTTTCTTTAAAAATAAACAATCAATAAAAATCAACTCGTCAAGTTTGTTCACATTCTTTCCAACTTTAAACCAAAACACATGGCTTTATCGTGCTTTTGTTCGTATTATTTTTAACGTGCATCCCGCCATCGGGTTTATGTCTTTTTAACTTTGGGCATTCTTGGTGCAGGTGGGTCCTAAGGTGCGATTCGGACAAAAAGGATTTTTACAGTGTTGTTTCTAATTTTTCACCCTTGTATATTTTTATTTTACGGAGAAAGTGTATACTATACTATAAATAGTATTTACTATTAACAACAAAACCTTATTTTGTTGACGTCATTGTGTAATTTACGTCACTCTTTTGCAGACGAAAGGCGCATCTCCCGTGCAAAATGTAATTCCTTGCATCTATAATGAATTTATTACTATCTACTACACCTTTTTTGTTGGCGTCTTTGAAAAATTAATTCGTATTTTTGTTTGAATTTTTTCGTCAGTTGTGTAGTATGTCTGTGATGTATGTTTACACTGTTGTGGCTGCTAGATCCAAATTATTGTTGCACTTATAACCTATTATGTCTGCTTGGGTTACTTACCCAATTCTGTCGATATAATAGAACTACAAACAACTGCTATACAAGTGAGAGGTTCAGCTTGCTATAAAACCAGGTTTAACACACCATTTTCTTCGAAAAATGCATGTATCAAGTCAGGAACACGGCAGTTGTTTTTCACTTGTTCCGTTGATTGATAGCGTTTGATTTTGTTAGTTTTTATGGACTTACCCTTTATGAATTTGCCTTGGAGTTTGGTATTTTTGTTATACTTTTTTCAATTATAATTATAAATTTTTCTTAATAACTTTGTTATCTTTTGAATATTTGCAATTTGAAAGGTGATCTAGAATTTTAATTTAATTGATTAAATGCTCAGTCATCTCGTACATGTGTTAACTATTTGTTTCAAGATTTCTTATGAATGTTGCAGTAAAAATTGGAATTTAGTTGGATTCAGAATCCTCCAAATACTAATTGGAATTTTTATATCTTCTAGTAGAAATTAATGTTCTGAGTTATACTAATTGAAATCCACAATTAATCTACTAGTATTTAGATTTGTTATTACAATGATATGCATACACGATCAAACTATTCTTCATTGTGAATGCCATTCATGGTCATAGTTCCATCTTTAAAAAATATTTATGTTAAGGTAATCAGTGCTCTACTTTTCGGCGTAACAAATAATGGAATATCGGTCGCAAGATTAATCGATTGAATAGCACAAGCAAATTCATGCTTGAAAAAATAACTCTTTTAAGCACAAAGCCTCTAGGCCTTCTTTTACTCTCTAAGATCCAGGAGTATAAACTATTTTACAAGAACTTACATGTTCGAATGTATTGTATCATTTATAGATATAAAAATATGCCTCTGTGAAGTGGAGATACCTAAAAGTTTGATATAACCTACGGCCTACATTCTCTGTGTTATATGATTCTACACGGTAAGGATAACATTCAAACCTGTTTTATAGAAATTTTTGTATCAACTCTTGACAAACCTTTTATCTGAGATACAGCTGTTTTGTTCCACTTTCGTACAAGAAATGTAAAAACTACTTGAATGAAAATATTAACTCTATAACTGTGGTATTGCTTTATATTTCAAACTTCATGTTTTAACTTATTTTTCCTTCTTCGTTTAAAAAAATCGTTCGTTGAGTTGTGCATATATGTTCCTTCTTGGTTTTTTGTAAGTGACTTAATTGACACAGATGGACGACTTCGCACTAAAATCTATGACAAACGGGATGATTTCAACTCCCAATTATCAATTTCCCATTTCTCAGCAGTAACATACCCTCTGCTCCGTCATATGGTGTTTACATATCTCAATTGATACGTTATGCTCGTGCATGTTCACACTATACTGACTTCATATACAGGAGTGTGCTCCTTACGCAGAAACTGCTCCAACAGAGTATTGAGGAGGATAGATTAAAAATGACACTCCGTAAATTTTATGGACACCATCACGAATTGGTTGATCTATACGATGTGTCTGTGTCTAAACTAACAAATGACATTTTTACCACGTCTTAGATTGTGGTTTAACATCTATGTCGTCTGTCTGCTAAGTACCGAATATGACTGTCATACCGAGTGTGAATTTGCATTGCTATACGACGTGTCTCGGTATTTTGTACATCCAACATTCATGTATTTATTTTTGAAGTTTCTGTTATGGTTTCGGTTGAATAATGTTTTATGTCTTATCGTTTGTTGTCCAAATAATTATAAAATTGCATTTCAATACCAACATTGACATATTCCAGAATATGACTGTTATACCGATTGTGAATTTGCATTGTTATACGACGTGTCTAGCTATTTTGTACATCCAACATTCATGTATTTATTTTTGAAATTTCTGTTATGGTTTCGGTTGGATAATGTGTTATGTCTTATCGTTTGTAGTCCAAATAATTATAAAATTGTATTTCAATACCATCATTGTCATGAAAATTTTTGGACGAGTATTGTGAAAATAATTGTATAAAGTTCGAGATTGCATGTTAGCGTTACATTGTTTGTGATATCCTGTGGTGTTTGTCGTTGATGGAATATGTTCGTTGGTGTTCTGCGGTTTGCATGTTGTGTCGACTATTATATTATTTGTGTGTGCGTTTCTCTGTAATGAATACTCTTGCGTGTGTTTGTGTTGTATTTCTGTCACGTAGTGTTGTCATTTTAGCGATATTTTTTAACATTTTCATAAAGCGAGAGGTTTGGCTAGCTATTAAACCAGGTTCAACCCACCATTTGTTTTCTTAAAATGTCCTGTACCAAGTCAGAAATATAGCAGTTGTTATCAAATAGTTCGTTTCTATGTATGTTGGCGTTTGTTTTCGTTGCACTTCAGTGTTCCTGTTGTTCCTTTGTTTTCCTCTTATAGTTGATGTGTTTCCCTCGGTTTTAGTTTGTAACCCGGATTTGTTTTCTCTCAATCGATTTATGACTTTTGAACACCGGTATACTACTGTTGCCTTGATTTAAGGCTTTCCGTCGAATTCAAAAATTATCCTTGAAGTTAAGAACATTTTTAAATCTTTTTACTGATTCTCTCCAACAAATCATGCACATCAAACCAAGTTTTTGTCAGGATCGGTATTTA